GTGGATCCTCATTTGGAGAGAGGTCTCTAATGAAATTGGTTGTGAAAGAAACACAAAATAACACAGTTGCTACTTATGGAAAGCAACATATAAGAATGGAAGGCAGTTGACAGAATCTGGCACAGAGACTAAGGAAGCCATTCTTCTTCACTGTATCTATCAACTTGTGTGATGTCTTCATGGAACAACATTTTGCCAGGGGTTGGTGGGGATGTGCCTGGTGCCAAGAAGCAGCCTGTTCCCTTTGCTCCTCCTGTGACCCCACCTTTGCCCGTGCCCAGCCCTCATCATCCTCAGAAGTTCCTTGGTATGACCTGTTGGCTTACACTCCTGACCTTTCTTTCCCATGCTTTTCAGACTAGTGGAAACCCTGATTAGAGAAAAATATGACACTGTGGCATTTTTTAACCAGTACCATGGACGTTTTCTCAAATTATTTATACCCTTCTAAAAGGTATTATATTCTATCAGTGCTTTCCAGTCTAAAAACCAAATTGAAATTTTTGACTTATATGTTCTTCTAACAGTGGTATTGAAGCAGAAGTCACGAACAGCAGGAAAGTGTATTAGCTTAATGGCATTTTCTTTCTGAGTTTGGAGGAGAAAGATAAACCTAGAGCTATTTTAAGTTCAGAGAAATTTCATTGTCACTGGTATCAGTGATACAAATCCTATTATTACTGGTGTCTAAAGATACAAATAGCAGTATAGTTTTAATTTTTATCCTAGGACTATGTCTTCAATTTTTCCTCTTATTATAATTTAATATGAGTGATTTAGCCATATTATAACAAATAAAGAAGGCAGAAGCATGCATCGTCTCATAAGCCACAGGCTCTTGCAAGTGGTGATATTCATCAGCTTGAACTGGAACTGTGATTCACATCCCTGTCATGTGGAGCATTACTATAACAAAAGTAATGGGCTTCAAATGTGAAGTTACTCGCTTTCTTTCCTTTCCCAACAGTAATATAAAACTGTTAATGTCTTCCATTAACATAATTGTTTTCTCTCACAAATGTTAATGAAAATAATGTCTTGAAATTATAGACCAACCAAATCTCATTGACTTCAATTTTATTTGATAAAACAAAACTTACTTTAAGATACTGTAAAAGTTTTAATTAGGATTATGTTGAAGGCACGAATCTTTGATGGCACACATATTCAGACAAAACCAAAAACATATATGATCACAGTCAGCCCTTTTTATCTGCAGGTTCTGCAGCCATGAACTCAACCAACTGTGAATAGAAATTTTCAGAATAAAAGTTGCATCTATATTGAACCTATACAGACATTTTTCTTGTCTTTATTCTCTAAACAATATAACAATTATTTGCATAATACTTGCATCGCATTAGTAATTCATCTCTATTTTAAGTCAAAGATGATTTTAAAGTATGTAGAAGAGGTACATAGATTCTATGCAAATATCATGACATTTTATATAAAAAGCTTAAGCCCCTAGGAATTTTGGTATCTGTAGATGGTCCTGGAATCAATTCCCATGGATACAAAAAAAAAAAAGTATTTATACTAATTAAATTCTCAGTTAATGCTTGGCATTAAATTATAAAGTCCATTGGCCAAAATTATTATTTGTTCTATTTCCAATATGACATTAAAGTACCTGCCATCCCTATTAAACTTCCCAGTGCAAAAAAAAAAAAAAGTAGTCATACTCAGACAAAAACCACTACCCCATTTGTAAAATATGGATCTCAGATGATTTATGAGATGTTAATATAATGAGATGGAACTCAAGAAATAATTAAAACAAGACCTATTTTTTCAGTAATCACCATTGCCATACCATATTCCCAGCTGAGGGAAACTGAGGCAAGAAGATTACAAGTTCAAGACCAGCCTGGACAACTTAGTGAGACCCTATCTCAAAATAAAAAATAAAAAGGTCTGGGTATGTATCTCAGTAGTAGAATACCCCTGAATTCAATCCCTAGTACTAAGAAGAAGGGAAGGGAAAGAGGAAGAAATTATATACAACTTTCAAATGTGGAACTCAGACCAATTTCAGCACAAAATGTTAAATAGAATTTCAAAGATGACAGCACTTAAAAATTAGATACATTGAACAAGATAATTATCTTTTCCTCATAACAAAAGCTATTAGAATCTTGAACATGTTTCCTCAGCATAGTCCCTCCATGACAAAGTTTGTCACTGACATTCTATTAAATCTCTAAAGACTTCCCCTTCTAGCTGGGCTCAGTGCAGGCCCTGCATCCTCTGAAACACATTCTCCAATTCTCCAACACTCTTTAACAAAACCCCACTGTAAATTCTTGAAGTTTCCTTTACTAGTAGTCTATTTATATCAGAGAAACTAAGGAACCAATAGAACATTGTACTTTTTTTTCTTTTGGTACCAGGGATTGAACCCAGGGGTGCTGCCACTGAGCCACATTCCAGCCCTTTTTGTATTTTATTTAGAGACAGGTTCTCCTTGAGTTTCATAGGGCCTCACCAAGTTGCTGAGGCTGCCTTTGGACTCAAGATCTTCCTGCCTCAGCCTCCTGAGCCACTGGGATTACAGGCATGCACCACAGCTCCTGGCAGAGCATCGTACTGATTTGAATCCCCAGCTATATTACAGTGACTTGCACACAATTATGTACCCAGTAAATATTTTATAATTCTAAAACACAGGTAGAAATTAAAGATGACTTTGTCAGGTGTATGTGTGATTATGAAGTTAGCAATGATCAAGAAAGAATGACACAAATGTAATACTGGATTGACAGGTTAAAATTTCTCTAGCATTTTTCCAACAGACTGATGGACCCAGGATTACAATCCAAATATCATTAATTTATTATTTTGTTAAGAGTATACTTAATGGACCATAACATTTCCTCACAAATTCTCTCATCTCTTTGCCAATGCACCTAAATAAATTGATCTATAAAATATGTACATTCTTATAGTTGTTGCTTCCCAAAATTTGCTGAAAGGTACTTATCATCTAATATTGACTTTTATTTCTATATAATGTCCAGGTGATTTGGTGGCAAGGATATTAATTATGTTTTAATATAGTTCTCAGTTGATAGGTGCATAAAACAATAGGGACCAATAGATTCAACATAGACTTCTTCAGCTGATCATGATTGCTTATGCTTTAATCTCAAAATAGATTCTGCTGAAATCATCTGGTCCGAGTGCCACTACACTGTTTGGAAATATATTGAGAAGCACATTCTGATAAATGTGGATATCTGTTTGCAATTCTTGGGTAGTAGTAACTGATGGTTATGGTGATACGTGTGACGGCACTGATGATGGTAACCTTGGAGTACTGCTTTAAGACAGTGCATCACTGCTCAGTATGTAGCAGACTATATCACTACGGCATCCAAATAGAATGTATGGGACTGCCATTCAGGATGTTTTCTGATATTGTTGTGCAGCAGGTCACTCAGAAAACACACCCAAGTCCCAGTTTTGTTTAAATCGAAGAGTCTTTATTCCTACCAGCCTGGACTGCTTCCCACAGGAGCAAGTCGTCTCTACAGAAAACAGCCTGGAGCTTCAACATTTTAGGTATTGAAAGGCCAAAACCACATCCAGGTTGTACAATTGTCACCAACATCCACCTCCAGAGCATTTTTTATCCTGTAAAACTGAAACTGTACACACATTCTACAACTACTCCTCCTTTTCCCTTCTCTTAAGCCCTGACAACTACCATTCCATTTTCTGTCTCCAAGTCCCTCATCTGAGAAGGATCATGCAATATTTGACTTTTTGTGACTGGTTAAGTCCACTTACCACAATGTCCTCAAGGTTCATTCATGTTGTAGCATGTGTCAGAATTTCTTTCCCTTTTTAAGTCTGAATAATATCCCATTGTGTGTTCAAGCCACATTTTGCTTATCCATTTATCTGTGGATGAACACTTGGCCTGATTTCCCTATTTTCGCCACTGAGATGGTTAGAAGTGGAGTTACAGAGTCAACACAGGAAAAGACAGGACTGAGCTGTCAAAGATAGATACAGAAGGACAAGAGGAGGAAACTGAGAATGCAATTCTGAGGGGTGGAGGAAGTCATGAAAACTAGAGGAAGATAGTTTTTCAGGGAGAAATAGTCCCAGTTAAGACTGCAAAGAAAAGAAGCTAAAGATGCTCACAAGATTTGATATCATGGTGGTCACTGGTGACCTCCAGAATTTTGACGTCTGCTTGGTAATCCTTCATAACAATCAAAGGTTCCTTGAACAGAGCTCTCCACCCTCCTGAATTGTTTTTGCTTTTCTCCAATAAATATTTACTATGTAGTGAACATAGTGACATACCTGAAGCCTTATAAAGGTATTTATGGTGTTTGGGGGATGTGATGAAACTATTCTGTATCCTTGTGGTTTCACAAATTTATAGATGTATTAAAACTCATAGAACTTTACGCCTCACAAGAATCTATTTTATTGTCTTTATTTAAAACTAAAAAGAAATATTAATGGTAAAGTTTCTTTCTTATATATGGTTGTGAGGTCTTGGATGTTTATTGTAAAATGATTCTTCAAGTCTTATCGGTATCTTCTAAATAGTCCTTGAATTTATACAAGATTTTTTTGGGGGGGCAGGGTGCTGGGGATTGAACTCAGGGGCCCTCAACCACTGAGCCACATCCTCAGCCCTATTTTGTGTTTTATTTAGAGATAGGGTCTCACTGAGTTGCTTAGCACCTCACTAAGTTGCTGAGGCTGGCTTTGAACTTGTGATCCTCTTGTGGCAACCTCCAGAACCACTGGGATTACAGGCATGTGCCGCAGTGCCCGGCAGCTTTACACAAGATTTTTAAAAACTTGAATATTGAATAAAAGCAAGTGAAGTTTTAAATGAGGAAATTACAAGAAATAACCAACAATGTGGAATTAAATAAATGGAGATATATGTGTAAATATATGGAGATATATGTCATTATCGAAATATGAAAAAGACAGTAATAAAAAATTCTATTCATCTCATTTTTTAACAGATAGGAATGGGTCATTTGCATGTAACAAATGATGGACTTCGCCTGGAAGGAGAGTCAGAATTTTTATTACCATTATATGCCAAAGAAATACGCTCCAGAGTGGTAAGAAAATGATGAAAGATTTAAATAATTTGTTCCTTGTGAAAAATAAATAATGATTAAGTATTCAGTATTAATGGAAGAAATTTTTAAAAAGCATATATGTCCATACATTCATGCTCTTCTCTTTATTTAAAAAAATAAAAAACTTGGCTATTAGGTTATGGAACTCATCTCTGATATTATATTCTATAAAGATTTTATTTTCATGTGCTTTGGATCTGAATATGATGACCTCAGTAATTTAGGCCATAATTAACTAAAGATCTTAGAAATGAAAATTTTTCCCAAACACCATTTAAGCTTTAATCAATGCAATTTCAGGGCATTCAAATTATCTTAGAGAAATTAGTTCCATAGTAGTATTTTCTGCATTAGTTATTCTAATTACAGATTAAGATCTCATAGAATTATCCATAATCGGGTGCAACATCATTATTAAATAATTGTGTGACTTTAAAAGCAAATCAAGCTGGGTACAGTGGTGCAAGCCTGTAATCCCAGTGGCTCAGAAACTGAGGCAGGAGGATCGCAAGTTCAAAGCCAGCCTCAGCCACTGTGAGGTGCTGAACAACTCAGGGAGATCCTATCACTAAATAAAATACAAAATAGGACTGGGGATATGGCTCAGTGGTTGAGTGCCCATGAGTTCAATCTCTAGTACCCGCCCCCCAAAAATAAAAGTGAATCAAAATTTTCTTTATTCACCTCCAACAAATTCATAAAGAGGAGAGTCAAAAATAAAATACAAAAAAGTCAAATGATTTTTGTAATATGTTCTATTTTTTCTTCTATTAGACCATAAACTGTGTAGTAAACACAATCATTTTGATGATAGGTTATTGATAAATGATACTATTTGAAGAGTACAGCCTTCCTTTTCCTTCTGTATTTCTAAATGTGAATGGATATTTTGGTATCTCCTGCCTGCAGAGGCTATACAGCTGCTATAGAGAAATTAGAAAATCACAGAATTACTGTAAAGAAACAGCAGATCTTGCTGAGAAAAAAACACTCCTAATGTAAACACTGGACCTTTCACCCAGCTCTTACTACCAGCTATAGTAGTAGACACAGCATAAAACTTACATTTAAATACCAGAAAGATGAGATACCAGAGAATGCAAAGCATCTAAGTTGTTTTATGCAGTACTATACTGTATCACTTCTAGAAATATCTTTTTGGAGGTAGGAGTAGACAAATGATACATGCATAAGTCTGATTCTGTGAGCTTATTCTGGCAATACAATCAATCAAATGACATTTCAGGGTGTTATAGCCCTGTCATAAAGGAACGTGGAAAATTAAATCAATGTAAATAAAGAATTCAAATATTAGAACATATCCTTTTTTCTTCCATCTTTTGGAAGAGATGGGACTGGTAGAATACCTGATGATAGAAATCAGGCGACTAAATTAGAGTGAATGTAATATTCTGGAATTAATAACTTTCAGTAATATTTTATCAGACTTCTTCATCTCCGGTATACTTTAAAAAAAAAAAGCAGGGAGCAAAATTGCAAAAATATTTCAGATAAGCACATATTAAAGTCTCATAATGTGGTATTAATGGATATGTCAATCAACACATAAAATTACATGAACAATTTAAATAGTATGCGATAACAAGGCCATACAGAATTATGTAACTAATCTGACCTTCCAACAGTAGCAGCCACCAAACAAAACTGTGTCTCACCACTTCTGTATGCACTGATATGTTAGTTTTCTTTTCAAAGGTAAGTCTAGAAAGATATTTTACATAAAATTACAAAACATAAATTACTTTATAAATTTGCAAAATTTGCCACATAATTCACTTACCTACAATGCTGGACTAAAAGAATTTCTTCATTATAAATATAAATCAGCATGGTGCTCTGATCTCTAATGTCTGATTATTCAATAACTCCTTGAAAACAATACTGAAATAATGCCTTAAATCCACTCACTCTGCCCATTAACCCAAATACATAAAAATTATTTCTGATAAGACAAAAAGGCTTTATAGGTTTAATATCCCTTAATCTAAATTCTAATAACCAGAGTGTTTGGGATTTGGGTTTTTTAAAAAATATTTTGAAATATTTGCCTAAACATAATGAACTATCCTAGGGATAGGACCCAAGTCTAAACATGAAATATTTATACTTTATATACAATATTTTATACACATAGCCAGAAGGTAATTTATATAATATTTGTAGTGCACCTGAATTTTAACTGTAACCCATCATATGAGATCAGGTGTGGAATTTTCCACTTGTAGCATCATATTGATGCTCAAAAACTTGCAAATTTTGGAGCACTTTGGGTGTTGGATTTTCAAATTAGCACTGCTCAACCTATATTTAAAAACATACTATGAACAAACAGAAATGAGATAGAACTATCTGGAGTTTTAGTCAGCTTTTTCATCCCTCTAAACAAAATGCCCAACAAGAACAAATTAGAGGAAGAAAAGTTTATTTTGGCTCATGATTTCAGAGGTTCAATCCACTGTCAACTGACCCCATAGCTCTGGGCCCTGGTGAGGCAGAACATCACGACAGAGGGGCATGGCAGGGGAAAGCAGCTCAGGACATGGCAGCCAGGAAGCAGAGAGGGAGAGAGTTCCCCTCACCAGGGACATGCTCCCAGTGACCCACCTCCTCCAGCAATACCCTTCCTGCCTACAGTTACGGCCCCATTAATCCGTATCTGTAGATTTACACAACAATTAAATCATCTCATAACCTAATCATTTCACATCTAAGAATTCTTCCATTTGAAATTTGGGGGAACATCTCATAACCACACCATAACACCTGGTGATAATGATTTACTCAAAATAATTATCTTTGAGATTCACAGTCCTGAAAAGAAGCAGGTAACCTACAGCCAAAGCCCACAGAATAACAAGAATCAAAATGTCACCTACATGGATGAGACTGCAGCCAGACCACTGCATGAGACAGTGAGGAAGGCAGAAAACAGCTGTAACTACTGCCCGTCCCCCTTGAATAAAGCTGCACACCTGTGGGGAGGAGGCCATAAAGACACAAGGCCAGGATGGGAATGCCACTGAGGACCGAAGCCCAAAGCCACTACTGTAAGACCCAGAGACCTTGGGATCCAAACAGAAATATAGGATACTCAGCCAATAGTGGCATAAACTAGCAAAAGTTTTTCTATTCTTACTAACAAGAAGCAGGAGGGGCAAGGACAGCACTGATTCAGAACTCAGCAAGGTTGGCTCCAGCATCTTTGCCATCCTCTGCTTTCCTCCGCCCCTTCACTAGATGACTGCTAGACCATATCCACGGCCCATGGCAGAGCAATGGGCCATATTGGTGCCTGTGTGCCTTCCATTGGAAAGTAAGAGCTTGCCTAGAAACTCCCACACTGCCCTCAGCAGACTGCAGCTCATATCTCATTGACCAGAGTTGTCACTTGGCTACCCTTAGCTGTAAGACAGGATGGGCAAACAAGCATTTAGTTCCCTGCCTTCACAGTGGAAGGCAGTCCTTTTCTAGTAATAGAGATGGAGAGTGCCTGTTGGCTCAAATGACCAAAAGTGAACCCCACAAGAGCCGAATTTGTACAGACAAGGGAATGAATCTTACAGCTCTAACCTGATTCCTGCTCTCCCATCCAACAGAAAGGTACAAAAGGGGCCGGGCGGTGGCATCTAAAGATTGCATTCCATCATGGAATTGTCATTGCCAGGTATAATTTTGGATGAGCAGTAATTTACTCTGTCTGAACTCAATTACCTCATTTCTATAATAGGTACCTACTTCATAATGTAGAAGATGAAATGAGGGAATCCCAGCTAAAACTATTGGTAAAAGTGTTAACTCTTTTAATCAGGATAGTTATTTTCTAACAATGCAAAAACAAGTATTGAGGTCACATCACTGGGCAAAATGTACATCACTTGAAAGATCACATAATTCCCTATCCTTTGGGAGGATATTCAGTTCTTCTGCATGAGACATTAACCCCTGAGTCCCACAGTCAGATTACTGCAGTTCTGTTGAAAGCAATTATTGATATAAATGCAAGAAACCTTCTACACAACAGAGGCAATCATTCAAAATTATGATAACCCAGAAAACACTTACTTTATCATGACTTTAATTCCCAACAAAAAGTTTCAAAAAGAAAGACACCCAACAAATTGTTAAAACTTTTTTAGAATTAAATTTATTTTTAACTGACACATAAAACCATAAAAATTATTTATATTAATGTAGTACTATGTGATGTTTTGATATATATAAATATTAGGTAATGTTTAAATCGGATTAAAAGGGGAAATATTAGATAATTATACTGGCCAAATTATATTGGTATATTATGTGCATGTATAAATATGTAACAGCAAATCCCACCACTATGTACAATTATAATGCACCAATAAAAAATTTAAAATAAGAAGCAAAAATAAAAATAAATAAATAAATCAGCTTAAATATAACTATCTCCTCAAATGTTCATCTTTTCTTTAAAGTAACAACATTCAAAGTTATTTCTTCCAGCCTTTTTAAATGGACAGTATTTTTGTTATCTATAGTCACCCTACTATACAATAGCACCCCAGAATTTCTTATGCCTAATTCTAACCTGATACCCATCAATCAGCCTCTCCCCATTCACCCACTTTCCTATTATCCAATTTCTCTCCTTAAAATATGTCTTCTTTGGACATAAATAACAGCAAAAGAATTCGAATTCCTTGGAAAAGAAGAAGCAATAATTTGAACTTGATCATATTAGGCATTTATCTTGAAAACTGATTGGCACATTGTAAACAGTATACTTAGTATTACAAACCCATAAAATTGTTATAGTTTATAAAAAAAGTTTATACATTTATTTCTTTAACATAATGTAATCCAGGATTTTTCACAGTTTTAGCCAAAAATTTATAGAGTTCTAGGATCTGTGGCAATGGAGAAATTTTATATAACTCTGGCTCTTTCTACAGATATGAAGATATGATATATTTAGCTGATTTGGTAAATCTCTTTCTAGGACTCCTCTCTGCTTCTGCAGTCAACTCAGAATGTTACCGTCAGTGCACGCAACTCAGAAGGGGAGGTCACAGGCAGGTTGAAAGTGGGTGAGTCCAACTTCCTCTTAGCACTTTGTATGCATGAGGTCCATGAGCAGTGCTACACAGATAAATTCGTTTTTATTCTAAGGAATTCAAAGCTTATTTATGAGTAAGAAATCATAAATTTTCTAAATTATATAATGTGTTGACCGAGAATGGTTAATACCACAGGAAGGGGTAAAGGAGCTGGAAGCACAGTATGAAATGCTTTAACCCAAATTGTTTTGTTTCCAAGAAACAGAAGACCTTTCAACTGAGTGAAAGGAAGAGACTATTTATTATAGCGCATGCACATACACACACCTCTTAGTGACCAAAGTAAAAGAACTAAAGTAGCTGTTCTCAAGAGAACAGAACCAGGGCTGAGTGCCAAAATCATATACATATTCTCTTCCTCCTTTCTTCATATGTCACTCTTTCCATTTCTCTCACTTCTCTCTCTCTCTCCTTCTACCTATATTCTCCATTCTCCTCCTTTCCAGGGTATCTCCACCTATCAGTTCCTTTTGGGTATATGGCTGCATCACTTCTCTCTCTACTGATCCTGCAGGGCCTCCCTGGTTCTGTTTTTCTCAGCATCAACTACTGTAATCTCAAATTATACAAATTCTATAATGTCAACAAAGTCCCCTAATTAACCCAATTCAATCATTCAACCAACAGCCTTTGGGCCAGCTATGCACACCTATCCAATCAGCTAATGACATAGAATAAAGTCCCCTAGGAATGAGGTCACATGGAAGCTGGCAGAAAGAGAAAAGGACCAGCAAGAAAGAGTATGCACTTAACCCTCTTTATCTGTAGATTTCTCATCCTCAGATTCAGCCAACTACAAATGGAAATTAATTTTTTAATTGTATCTATTCTGAACATGTATAAACTTTATTTTCTCATTATTTTCTAAACAATATACTATAGCAACTATTTTCATGGCATTTACATTGTATTAGGTATTCTAAGTCATAAGAATGATTTAAAGCATAGAGAAATATTGTGAGTTATATGCAGATACTGTGCTATTTTATATAAGGAACTCAAGCACCTGTGGATTTGAGCATCTATGGGGATCCTGGAACCAATTCCTCATGGATTCTGAGAAGCAACTGTAGGTGATAGAAATAACAAAAGAGCTGGTGGAAAGAATGCATGTCATTCTCTATACCTCAGTCCTATACAGATCTGTCAAATCTAGGAAACTGCATTGCCCTTGTGATTATCAGGAGATAGATAAAAGGTACACTGCCAACGCAAGCTGATAACTTCCATTGCACTGTAAACAGCATACATTAACCAGATGATGACTTTTATTATACTGATACAAGGTGTTCCATTTTTTATGTTGTTTTAACTTTGATAGCATATTCTGAATAATGAATTGCATTTTTCTTTCACTTAAAAATGAAACATTTGATCTCTCAGTCCAGTGAAATTTCCAGTTGCTCTAGAAATGGACCTGAGTTGACCTAACATCCATATTCTTGAAACTTGGGATATCTATCAAATTCTATTTTCCTAATGAGTTATACAGTATTACAATTTTTATCATTTCTTAGCTGCCTAGATTTTAAATGTTTGTTGGGGGTTTTGCTAATTTTTCACATTCATACAAAATGCATATGTGTACATTTCTATATGCTGTTTTATCATAACATATGAAGAATATGCAATTATTACTTAGAAGCACCAAAAGTAGAAGAATTATTTACTCTTGTAAAACTTAATTCAAATAAATATTCATTTGCTTATTTATCTTTTTGTTAAATGGGTTTACATGTAGCATACAAAGAGCTCAGAGATAATACAAACATACCTCTCATTTCATAGGTAGACAAATGCAAGTACTGAAAAGCTAATTTTTTCAAGAACACATAGCCACTTAATTTAAAAGTCAAAACAGGAATGACCCAAGAAGTGCTTCTCTCAGCTGGCTATTTCCACTAGTCCTCCTGCCCATCAATTTCCTGAAATTACATATCAGTAACTATTCTATTGGTTGCAAACATGGTTTCCACTTCTGTCACCAAGGAATGACTAGATGTTATACAGTTGTTGTTGTTGTTGTTGTTGTTGTTGTTTAAGTTTTCCATTGAAATTACTTTGGTCCAAAATTTAAACCTCAAATCTTTAGTTTTAAACTCATGCCACATTGTTTCTAAATTCATGACTTATCCTAAACCTTTGTCCAGAAAGTCTATTATGTTGAGGACCTTGAGATAGGAAGTATCACTCAGCTCTCCAAATTCAAGAGCCTTTTCAGTAAATGACTTTCCACAGTCAAAATCCTTCCAGCCTCATATTACCTGGAAGATGTAAACTTGAGCCAGTTTGGATATTAAGTTGTAATTTATGGGAAGTAGCCAAATTAATCCTATTTAATTAAAGGAATAGCTATTTTCTATTCAACCACTAGGGGGGGAAAATGACATGCAATACAATCAAAATACTGATGAAATTCCAAAGGAAATCAAACATTACAAAGCGTGTACTAGGAACTGGCATTTCAAGTCTGAACTAAATGATGCCAAATCATAAGCAACAACAAGGAGGTCTTACTAGAGGTATATGCAGCTCTGGTTACTAGAGCTAATTTTCCTTCAATTTCAAATAGCAAAAATCAATCAGAGTTAGCTTAAAAATAAAGGACACATCAATAAGTGTGCAAATTGCACCCATCCCAGTTGGTAGGGCTCAGAGATGAATTTTCTGAGAACTGAGCCAGGCTGCAACCAATGTGTCCTACAGAAACAACCACCAAAACTAGGTATAAACATGCCCCAACTATGTCCCTGGCCTCTACCTCAAGGGATGTCTGCAGTTGTCTAATCACTACGAATGCCCTGTGGAGATCTTCAAATTACAATGAAGTAAACACAGTAGCTGTCAGTCAGTGTTTCATCACTGTGACCAAAGCACCTAACAAGAACAACTTAGAGTAGGAAAAGTTTGCTCTGGGGTCGGTGGTAAGGTGGAGCATCATGGAAGAAGGGCATGGCAGAGGAAGGTTGTTCACTTCATAGTAGCCAGGAAGCAGAGTGGGCAGGGGTGGGGAGCCAAGGAACAAGATATAATCTCCAAGGCCATGCCTCCAGTAACCTACTTTCTCCAACCACACCCTACTTGCCTATAGTTACCACCCAGAACAAACTTTCAATTATCAACCTAGCTAATGTACTAATTCACCAATTAGATTATAGCTTTCATAATATAATTTTTTCACCTCTGAACATTGCAACCTTATCTCATACATGAGCCTTTGGGAGACACCTAATAGCAGCGTTTTCATTTTGGGAGACAGTCCATATTACTAGCATCTCTTAATTTCTAGGGTCTCCATTTTAGCTCCAGCTTCTCCTTGACTGCTATATGCGTCACCCTCTCAGGGGTAGCCCACAGGGATTTTGACCCTGTTACAATTTGCCTAACCTTCCAAGCCTTTTCTTGGAAATCTCAGTGGAAGCCTCCATGATGCTCTAACTCTAGCATCCTGCATTCCTGAGGAACCTGCACAATATAAGCAATGCTAACATTTGTCACCTGCTTGAGCAGTAGCGACCCCCACCCCCAACACACACCCACCTTGGATCACAGCCATCATGGCCTTTGAATGCCTGAGAGACTGAGCACTGTGAAACCACAGATTCTGAGGAAATAGCTTTTTAGGCATCCAGGGTGCTCCCTTAGTTTCTTTTGAAAGGAGTTTTCTCTTTTACACCTTTGACCCCATGATGGGTGTGGTCTTGCTGATTTTTGAGATGCGCTCAAAGCATTGTCCACTTTTCTCTAGTGGAAGTAATCTCTCTAACAACCCACCTCTTATGGCCCCAGTTTTATGTGTTCTTTTTTTGTCTAAAACTGCAAGTTTTTAAATTTTTTTAAATGACTAAAGGCCACTCAAAAATTGCCCAGTCTAAAACAAACAAACATAAGCATGTGATGATATCTGCTAGAACTTGAATTCAGCTCTTCTGAATATCAAAGCCTCAGATATTATGGAGGAAATTCTGGGGCAAGCCTACAAAAACGTTGGTAGAAGCAAAAATGTGAAAATATGAGCATTAGATGCCAAGTATTACATTACAAAGAGGGGAATTTCTGGAAGTTGAAAAAGAGGAAGAGAATGTTGAGAAGGGTAAAGTTCAGTGGGAAAGAGCCAGTGTCGTGGAGGAGGAGGATGATGCCCATGTGGTTGGGGGGATGTGTAGCACTGTTCCCTGAAGAACAGTAAGAACTTTCCAAGAAGCTGAGCAGCAGGTTCATGGAGGGGCTGCCACCCTCAGCACTAGTTGAGTTCGAACCCATGAAGACTTGCAGAAAATCTACCGAGTACATTTGAGGAACATACTCAGGCATGCTCCAGGAAAGTCCCCAAACAGAAATATACACACAAGATACAGGTATTTTTGCTTAAGAATTTTGAACATTGGCATAAAAAGTCTCAGGACTGACAGGAATACAAGACTAGCAATTGCAGGGACGGGAAATACCCACTGAAAAGGAAGAAAACCAAAATAAGTCAATTTTTCAGTTCCACAGATAAATAGAACTTTATGATGTTGTGTTATATCCAGAATACCCAATCAAATATAGGTTCTCTTTCAGAAGAAAGCACCTGGCATCATAAGGTGGACTTTGGGGAGCAAAAGAGATAGAATGAAGTTACATTCCACTTCAAGGATAATGCTAAATTTTAATTGCTCTGAAAAACAATAAACCAAAAAAATGCCTCCATGCATTTAAAATTTTAGAAGCACTGTACTTTGAAAAATCTACTCCAAAAAGAGAAACGCGGGGCTGGGGATACAGCTCATTTGGTAGTGCTTGCCTTCCTTGCACAAGGAAGATCCCCAGCACCAAAGAGAGAGAGAAAGAGAGAGAGAGAGAGAGAGAGAGAGAGACAGAGACAGAGACAGAGACAGAGAAAGAAACAGGAATTTGCTTTAAAGACAACACAATGTTTATTTTTTAAGGACATGTGTAAGAGTGAGAGTGTGTAACATTGTGGTTGG